TTGCCAAAATAGGCCTTATTTCCTCCAAGTGCTGCTTCAAGGTGTAGAATGTGAAGGTGTAAATACATCTGTCTTTTGCCATTTGTAGTTCTACTAGCCTTGTGCATATCTTGGAGTAAGACAGATGGTCCCTGATGCTGCACAGGTTTCCAGGGATATATATTTCCAAAAATAAGAGGACAGATGTGAAATACGGCAAGTACAAGTTTTTATCCCCTGAAGGTTTGAGTTGAGGCTGCCATCTCAATTTGGTTATTTAAATATAGGATCCTAGACAATCCTTAGAAATCGCTGTGCTAGAAATATAACTTTTAATAAAATGTTTATTGTGTGCCTTTATGCCAAATATCTAGAACACAGAACAGAAAAAATTTTTTTCACCACCATAATCAAATTTGTTATTCAAATGGCACTGGAGGTGCTCATGGTGAATTGCACAAGATTTCCTGTCTTCTAACTTCTGTCCAAAGAGAAATGTCTACTGTTTGTTCCTTCCCCCTTTGTGGGGGAATATCCACTAGGGGCCATTTACCCAAATAAACCTCTTAATGCATTTATTTAAAAAATTTTGGGGGGCTGGCCGAATGGTGCATTGGTTAAGAGTTGGCTTGAGACGGGCCGGCCGAGTGGCACGTTGTTTAGGAGATGGCTTGGGATGCCAGCTCTGAGCAGCAGGGCCCTGGTTCGGATCCCACATGAGGGCCAGTGACACTGCCCTCTACAGCTAAGACAGTGAACAACAGCTCGACTTGGAGCTACCGTGAGTCACTGACCACGGCATAGGCTGCAGTGGGGCTGGCCAGCAGTGGGCGTGAGCTTTTGTGAGCTGCCATAAGCTGCTGTGAGTGGCCGTCCAATGGCTCACTGGCTGCTTCACCTGGGAAAAGCACAATAATAATACCGACATGGGCCAGTGAAGCGACGTCCTCCACAACTAGACTGACGAACAAAAGGACAGCAACTTGTCTGTTCCCCTTCCCTGATTCTCCAATAAAATCTTTAAAAAAAAAAAATTTTGGACACAGTTTCCCTCTGAAATGGAAAAAGAAAGTGTTGAGATAAATGTTGATCTAACCTAAGTCAGTATATAATTTTACTAGATATATTATCAGGTATAACGGAAGTAGTCATAAAACTTACATGTCTATAAATGACTCAGCACTGTTGTCTTTCAACATAATCCATCTCAACTACTTCTTGTTAATTTTATTGTTTAAATGCTAGGAAAGGCATTCCACATAAGCAAAGTTAAGAGTAAGCTAGAATTTCCAAGAGACCTGGACAATGAAAGTCCATTTGCTCATCACACTCTGGTGGACCATCATGTGGCAATGAAAATTCTCAGTAAATATAATAAAATTTAATGGAAATAATGCAAATTAACTAACTGCATTCTTGAGAATTGATCACAGTAAAATTATTTTTTAAATAAAAATGAAATAAATAGAGCCTTTCAAATCTAATGGGATAAAATATGATGAAAATGTCAGATTTGCTTCAAATCTCAACATATGTCAAAAATGAAAATTCAGGGAATATATTTTGTTCCTGCAAAACAAATATTACTTTTGGTAAGGCAAATACATGTATTTCAATGAAAATGCTAAATGTTAGGATGATAAAACCACAAGTTATATTCTCAAAATTCTATAATCAAATGTTAGGGTGACTTAAAAAACAGAAGTAATGTTTGGGTGACTTATAGTAAGAATAGCAATTTCTGAATATAATCAACAAATCCTTCAGAAAGTGTCTTAGGGGTATTAAGTCTTGTAATGTAGCAATAGTCAGGTTATGAATACTATCCTCGAAGTGTTTACAGGTCACTCTAACCTGTGTTAATAGGAATAAATAAAAGAATAGTAGGAGGGCAGGAGGAAAAAGAATAGTAGGTGAGGAGAGAAAAAATATAGTAGCTGGGGTGATTTGTGGCACACTAAATCTCTACCACAAGTAAAGAATTCATTACAGACAACAACTACATAAAAAAAACTAATAAAGTAAGTTTAAAAATCAGTTATTTTGATAATTATACTATGGTTATATAAAAGACTATCCTGTCTTTAGAAATTAAATATTGAAATACGTACAAATAAGTGGTTACTAAGTCTTCAAATTACTCTGAAACAATTTCAAAAACAACATGGTGTGGATGTGTATATGTAGGTGGGTGTGTGTGTAAGCAGAGAGAATGTGAGTGATAAGGCAAATACGTTAAGCTGTTAGCAGTTGGGAAATCCGGATATACAGGAATTCCTTTTACTGGTCTTGTAACTTTTTATAAGTCTGAATCTACATCAAAATTTAAGAAATGTAAAACCAAGTACTCATTACGGGAGAAATATTAATTATTCTCTCTAAACACTTCACTACCGGACATGCTATTGTAAAAAGAGTTCAAAAATTGGCAAAAATGGTTTGAGTACTGAGATAAAAAGTCTAGTAATGTGATACATGTATTTTGAACTAATATTAATTTCAAAGCATATAACTCAAATTCATATTATTTCATTCATTAATAAAGAATTATTAAATTGTGTACAATATAAGGGAGCCTGATATACATTCATTAAAAATCTAGGAATTGGGGCCAGCCGAGTGGCGCGTTGGTTAAGAGCTGTCTTGGGACACCAGCTCTGAGCAGCAGGACTCTGGTTTGGATCCCACATGAGGGCCAGTGACACTGCCCTCTACAACTAAGATGGTGAACAACAGCTCAACCTGAAGCTGGGCTGCCATGAGTCCGCCAGCGACGGCATAGGCTGCAGCCCCTGCTACAGTGGGCTCCCATAAGCTACCATGTGTGGCCGGCAGCCAGTGTGAGCGGCCAGCAGCCGGTGTGAGCTGCCAAGAGCCGCCGTGAGCGGCCATCCAATGTCCGGCGACCGATCTGCCTCACCCGGAAAGAGCACAATGATAATACCAACATGGGCCAGTGAATCAATGTCCTCCACAACTAGACTGAACAACAAAAGAACAGCAACTTGTCTGTTCCCCTTCCCCTGATTCCCCAGCACTGTTCCCCTCTCTCAATTCCCCAATAAAATCTTAAAAAAAAAAATCTAGGAATTGTGACCAAGTTTTTAAAAAGAAAAGAACACATAAGATTAATCTAAGTTCATAAAGTATGGTAGCACAGGAAGACGCCAGATGATTAATGGTTTCTACCCACCTAAGAGCAGAAAGGCAGAGAGTAGCAAGAGAAGGGAGAGTGAAAAAGAGATTTTACCTTTTTAGTATGGAAAATTTCAAATATATACAAAAGTAGACTCAATTTCCACCCCTACCCACAAGTATTTGAATTAAATTCTAGCATCATGTGATTTTATGCATAGACCTTCAGTCATTATCTTAGAGATATATGTGAAGAAACTTTTTCGAAAAAGAGAGCTAATTCTTTGCATTATAAAATAGCATGACTCTTAAGTTTTGAAAACAACCACGACACACCAGAAACAAAACTAAAATTAAATTCAGGATGAACTATTTTAAGTATTCTTCCGGTTAGATTCAGAAAGACAGACAAAAACTCCTAAGTACTTTGTAGAATTGTACATTGCTGATTTGGGAGCTAGGTTTGCTGTGTTTTTCTTTTTTTTTCACCCTTAATATGCCAGAGACTCAATTTTATTTCTGCATTCAGCAATGAGATCACTTTAATACAAAAATTACTCCACTAGGTAGCAGGTCAATTTCTGTGTTATGGTGAAATCTGGAGCTCAAAGGCCTCGTCCCTGAAAATGACTATTTCTACTCACAAAATTGACCTCTATACACACTTTACCATCTAACACAACAAAATTAAGACATAGTAACATAGCAGCCAAATAATTTAATCTATTCTTTTTGTCAAAAAGACCCTGAGGACTACTTAAAGCCAAGATGGGGTTTTCTCCTGACTATAGAATTATTAAGACAGTTGTTCCATTTCAAATTAGGTTAAACCTCAGGATTGCTTATTGATAAAAATAGGTAATTTGCATACACACACACACACACATACACATACATATACATACATACATATACAGAGGGTACCAAAAAGTGTATACACATTTTAAGAAAGGAAATAAACTGTATTAATTGTAATACTCATATACCAATAACAAAAGATGAATACAAGTCACGTTTGACTTCTGCAATTACAAGAGCTGCTCAAAGTGGTCACCATCAGTGTCCAGACACTTCTGATTACGGCAAACTACTGCTTGAGCATAGATAACATCTCTTAAAATGTGTATACATTTTTTTGGGCACACCCGGTATATATATATCTATATTCTGGAATTTCAGAGTTAGTACACAATTTAATATCTAATGATATCTCAGACACAGCACTTTATTTTCAGGAACCCAAAGAAGTGATAATTTTATACTCCTAACAGGTAGGAATTTTTAAAAAGTTTAAAAAGCTTGATATGCACACAAAAAATACAGCGAGCCATCAAAAGTCTTTGAGGATGTTAACGGCCAATCTTGAGTAGAGCCCAAATCTTAGGACCCTCGCTATTGAAAACTACCCATAGTATTACATTATCCTGACATTAAGGACAGATTATTATATTTAAATCATACCTCAATATACATGATTTCTTAAAAGTATTAGAAACATGGTTGTCATCTAAAATTCTCTCCTTAGTATTTGTGTTTGTCAAAATTTGGGAGTCATTATAAATCCAGATCATGTCCACAAAGCAAGAAAATGAAACTGTACTTTCAAACAAAGCCACAAGGCACCAAGAATAAGACTGAGTAGATGGGTCTGGTTTTTATTAGCCAATCCTCATTTTCACAACTTGTCACTGCTTTGTTTTTCCTATGAATGTGTGTGTACATGGCTGTGTGTGAGTATGTTTGTGCACGTTCTATACTTTAAGTCTCATGTTGGCTAGAAATGAAGAATATAATCAAAACCACACAAATAAAAAGAATTTTTCATTTTTTTATATATTCAACCCCCTTAAACAGCTATTAAAAAAATACCAAGCCTGAGGCCTTACCCCGTTCGTTTGGTGATGGTCCCCAGTGTCATCGGCTGCTTGATTTGTGCAAGAGGCATCAACACCATCAAGCTGGGGAGAGGAGAGAGTCGAGGGTTGCCAGGGTTGTTGTTGGCAAAATTATTATAGGAGTCTTGGCTGTTTAGTTTCCCTACAAAGATAAAAATAAAGAAAAGGATCAACAAAGGAAGTTTCCTTCTCTGATAGGGTTTGCACGATCTCTGTTATTCATTTAAAAAAGTTATCCAAGGCAGAAATGATTCTAAAAAAATCATGATTATATGAATGGGAAAAAACCCCAAAAGATATTGGTAACACCAAGTATGACTTGATTATAAATAGAGGCTTTAGACTTTGAGGATGGAGGATATTGAATTGGATAGATGTTCAATGGTTACACAAATCATTAGTATAAAATTTAATGGTATTATGAAAAAATATAAGATAGAGAAAAAAATTGGGAAAAGTCTAAATTAATCCAGAGGAGGCATAGAGCATTTCCTGAAACGAGCTTGAGAACAAGTGGGGAGAATATTCCAACAATGGCAGTCTGTGAAGGCTCAGAGGGCAGAAGAAACATGAGTTGTAAGGATGGGTACCCATGGAGAGTAGCCTGAGCGACACAGGATGAGACAGACCAAAGTCATCGGCAAAAACATCATCACCTTCCTCCCAATATCTACCACTCCCCACCATAAAATTTAAAAACATAAATGAACACACTTCCCTTTATTTTTATACTGGGCATGAATGTCAAAAATTAAAAAAGGGTAGTCATCGTGGCTCATTAATAACAAGGAAAAACAAACTCCTCTGTGAAATAAAATTTGATCTACAGAGATAGTAAGTACTCTAGGTTTACCAGTAAGCTCAACTCCTTATGCATTTATCTTTTCTCCCTCTCCATGGTTTTGCGTTTTCCAGAAATGTCCTATAAATGAAATCTCAAAATAAAGAGCTTATTGGGTCGCTTCTTTCACTTGGCCTATAAGCATCTGAGATTCATTCATTCTACATGTTCCTGCATGTGTCAATAGTTTTTTCATTTTTATTCCTGAGTATGATTCCATTACATGAAAGTACTTCCATTTGTTTATCCAGTCATTATTGAAAGAATATTTGATTTCTTTCCAGCTTTTCGCTATTTTGAATAAAACAACTATAAGCATTTGTGTACAGGTTTTTATATGTTTTGATTTTTTTTATATATATAAATAATCTAGGAATGGAATTGCTGGTCATAGTAAATGAATGTTTGCATGGACATAGTAATTGTATGTTTAAGGTCATGAGAAAATGACAAACAGTATAGGGAAATACAATTTTTGTACATTGATCTTGTATCCTACAAGCTTGCTGAACTTGTTTCATAGCTCTAATGGTTTATAGGATTTTCTATATCAATGATCATCTCATCCTCAAAGAAGCGAGCTTTACTTCTTCCTTTCCAGTTCAGATGCCTTCTATTTCTTTTACTGCCTAATAGTCCTGGATACAAGTTCTAGTACAATACTGAACAGAAGTGGCAAGGGCAGACAGGTTCATTTTGAGTTAATTTTTGTATATGGAGTGAGGTATGAGTGGAGGTTCACTGTGTTCACTGCTTTGAAAATGGAGGTACACTTGTCTCATCACCATGTGTTAAAAAGATTATCCTTTTTCCACTGAACTGCCTTTCCACCTTTGTCAAAAATCAATTGATCATATATGTGTGGGTTTATTTCTGGACTCTGTTCCATTGATCCATGTCTCCATCCTGTCATCAATACCACATTTATTTCATTACTGGAGCTTTATAGTGATTCTTATAATTCACGCACTTACACAGAAACGTTGTAAAAATCGACATTTTCCATGTTTATAATCCAACAACTCTTCCATACAGAAAACACCTTACTGACCCAATGTTCTTTTTCAAATAATTTTTCTTGATTTTTCATAAAAATATCTGCACCAGTTACATGGTTAACTGTAAATCTGGTATTTCATAAATAACAGTTATAGTGAACCCAAACATATAAGTTTCTTTTTTACTAATTTGAATTAAGGAGACAAATTTATAGAGAAAACTAAAGAATTCCTCCCCCCCCAAAAAAAGAGTCCTAATTAATAATATTTCTAAAAGACATCCTGAAAACATTCACTCTTAGAATGGATTCACTACAGAGGGAGAACTACCACACTGTATCTAATGGTAGCTTCAAAGGTAGTGGACAAGTAAGAGGTTCCTTTTAAAAAATCATTACAAGATGACGGTATCTTCAGAATTAGGATAATGTCTTAACCAAATGCGACTTCTTTCTTGGACACAAATCGATGGAATTATCAAGCTAAACACTTATAAATGTCTCTTTAGCAAAATAAGGTGAAAGGTAAGAAATTCACAAAAAATAAATATTTATCTATCCCCCAATTTCCATACCAGAATTCACAGTCATGTTAACTGAAGTGACCCACACCTATCGTAGGGATAATAAAAGACAGCATTCAGAATTTGCACAAGCTGCTTTAGGCTATTTAACAAATTACTCGATAATATCTACGTTCATACAATACAGAGTGAAATTCTACTACAATATTTTATTTTTGTGGAGTAACAGAAAAACTGATTTATAGTTAAGACATTCAAAGTGATTTATTATGATACTCTTAAGACCAATATAGATGTCAATAGTTGCAAGATAAGCCATTAGACAACTATAGTAATACTAATAATTTGGATATGAAATCAGACCACAACATTAACTATGACACAAGCTGAGGAAATTCAAGGACTGTGTATAACACACACACTTCACAACTAGTAGTCAAATATTTGTTAAGTGTCTTAGCCAAAGATGACATGCTGTGAGGATCGCATTCTCTGTTGTCATGAAGCTTACAGTCTAACATGCATGAAACAGGAATAATTAAATTCTAACTGCCTGGTACTAAAAGATAAGTACACATGAGATCAATTACTTGGAGACGAGATCACGGAGCAGATGGAACCTGACCTACGCTTTGAAAGATGGGCAAAATATGAATGAGGAGGAAAGAAGAAATATTCCAAGCATGGAGGATAGATAACATGAAGCGTAGAGGGTGTAAGGGGATGTCACATATGTGAGCAATACTAAGGGATCTCTAACTAGAAGAGACGATTATAATGGAAAGCAGTAGGAAGATAAAACGATTTCAGATTTAGAAAAAAAAACTTTCAACTGAAGCAGAGGTAAATTAGGTAAGTTCTTCAGTACAGATTTTGAGATCACTGAACTTTTAGAAAGGAAGAGTAGTTTAGAAAAATGAAATGATTCACTGAGAAGCTCCAAATCTTGTGGTTTAGTTAGCCATGACTTGTCCTTCACTGGCTCACCAGGATAAAAAACAACCTTGGAATAGCTTGCGAGGTACTTAAGGCCTATCCCTCTCAGCCTGCTCCTGTATTGTCAAGCAAGACCCAAGTATTCATGGGCTTTAACTCCTGGTGTCTATGTTTATGATGTAGCCTCTGAAATCCAGCCCATCTGAAAAAGAAAAATAAGCTGGGTAGATTTTATGTTCATAAGATTAGGGGTAGTATCTGTCTTACACAGCAATACTCCCTTATTCATGGGGGATACATTCCAAGAGCCCAGTGGATGCCTGAAACCACGGACAGTGCCAAACCCTATATATACTTTTCCTATATATACGTGCCTATGATAAAGTTTAATTTATAACTTAGGCACAGTAGATTAACAACAATAACTAATAATGAAATAGAACAACTGTAACAATATGCTATAATAAGTTATATAAATGTGATCTCATTCTCAAAATATCTTATTGTGCTATATGTACAGCTGGACAAAGGGGTGATTTCACATCCCAGGCAGCATAGAGTGGGACAGTGTGAGATTTCAACACACTACGCAGAACAGCATGCAATTTAAAACTTATGAATTCTTTTTGGAATTTCCCATTTAATACTTTTGGACCATGGTTCACTGCAGGTAAGAGAAACCACAGAAAGCAAATCTGCAGGTAAGGGGGGAGGGACTGCTGTATTTTACTGAATAGGGCAAGCAATTTATAAAAATAGCTTTAATGAAGGAATGTGTAAATAAAATGGTCAATGGTGACATGGTTCAGAAGGACCAACTCAGAGAGAAAGCTACAAACTGGCAAACTTCGAAAGAGTTAAAAAGTCAGATGGGGGGCCGGCCGAGTGGCTTGTTGGTTAAAAGTTGGCTTGGGACACCAGCTCTGAGCAGCAGGGCCCTGGTTCGGATCCCACATGAGGGCCAAAGACGGCTGCACCATCTACAGCTAAGATGGTGAACAAACAGCTCAACCTGGAGCTGGGCTACCAGTGAGTCACTGGCGACACCGTAGGCTGCAGTGGGGCTGGCCAGCAGCAGGCGTGAGCTTTGTGAGCTGCCATGAGCCGCCGTCCAATGGCTGGTGAGCAACTGCCTCACCAGGGAAGAGCGCAATGATAATACCAACATGGGCCAGTGAAGCGATGTCCTCCACAACTAGAGAGAAGAACAAAAGGACAGCAACTTGTCTGTTCCCCTCCCCCAATTTCCCAATAAAATCTTAAAAAAAAAACCAAAGAGTCGGATGGAAAGGGTTAAGTAAAGGAACACTGATTAAAAAATGATCAAGGTAATGGATAGAGGAGGCAGATTTCAGGACTTGGCAGCTGAAAAGAAGACATTAACAAGATAATACTCTACCAAGCAAAGGTTTCATTTAACATTCTTTCTCTTTACACTTTTTGAGCCTATTGGTATGAGACCATGTTCTAGTCCTGGATGAATCACTCCAAGGAACTCCTAAAGAGTTCATAACATAATGAGACCAAAAGATAGATAAACAAAAAATTTTAAATAGCAGAAAATATGCTAATAAAGATATCTGCAAAATGTCTCAGGAACGAAATGGAAGAAGACATTTTTACTGTTGTGTTAAAGGGACATCTTAAAAAGGGAGATAAGGTATACAAATTTTGAGCACCGAGGAAGGAACATGGTATCTTCTTACCTTTACTTTTCTAATAGAAAATAGAGGATAAGATGAGAGCTATGTGCACAATCACATCAGGAGTTAGTAACATGAGGGAGCTGGCTTAGACAAGAGATTTCATTAGCTGACACTTAATGAACTACATGTAAAAAAATA